ATTTAGGTGAAAGAGGCCTTTTAAGGAAGATGAAAACTTATTAACATTCAAGTCATTTTTTTTTCTTTACAGTGGAAGGTGTTTCAAGTACATAGCTTTCAACATACTATATAGGCCATAATATTCCTGAGAGTATAAATGTTCTTGTAGTGTGGTGTTTTGTGGGCAATGCAAATAAACATGTACATGTATATGGGTAATGAAGGTATATCTGAATGAAGCACCACTACTACCTTCATGCAAGCAACGCATTGTGCTCCCTTCAGTCTCCCATTCCTTTCTTAATGCAGATCGAGTTTGCTTTTAGCCCAGAATTATCCCTGAAAATTGGGAACACTTTTGTAATCAGAGACAAAAGATATGAAGTGCCCTATTTGTGCAAAAAACATATACACTGTAAGCTTTTCTACCTTGGAAAAAGGCTTGGAAGTATCTGTTGCACCTAATTCTGGGATAGTATACATAAGCGAGCAAGACAAATTCAAGAATAAGGTATGGGGGAAAAAGTCTTCATGTCCTGGACTTTATTTGAGGAGTCAGTTCAGTTAAATTTGGGAGAATCCATTTTTGTCTAATGCTGTAGGTCTGTTGTTATTTAATTTGATACAGAATATTACTAAAAATTGCCATTTTCAAACACTTGTTTTATTATAGTTCTGTAGACGCCACTCTGAAGTAAATAATTTTAATCCAAACAGCATTAATTTTATTGAATCAAAGCATAGCCACATTTGGTAGATTTCTAAATACTATTTCTTTTCCATAGATTGTATTCTTAACTGGCTTTGGCTACATTTATGTGGATATTGCTCATCAGTGCGGGACAGTAATAATCACTTTAGCACCTGAAGGAAAACCAGGACACCAGGCCAATTTGATCAGGTATGTTAAAACTGCTTGGAAAGAAAATTGTCCTGGGTAGCTGTTTAGTCCTCTAGGTGTGAGGTGACTTATTAAAACTAGCACAACTATTTGTTTTGTCTGGTGTCACTGCTTATGTGTGGCATATGTTTAGACCACATGTTAACATTTTGTATATCATTGTAAGCCATGACAATTTAACATCTGAGGTCATGTCACTAAAGGATAAACATGAAGTGCCTGTTATAATAAACAAGACTCAGAGAAGACTCACACATTTCAAGTTTATTGGCCAGATCAGCAGACCTTTTTTGCACATAACTCCCATTGAGGTCTGTGGGAGTTCTCATTCATGATGAAGGACAGAAGAATTATCCGATACAGACTGTGTAGTTGATCATCTTTATTACACAGCCTTATGCCCCCAAACTGCAAAATCTCTGTTGTGAGGTCTATAATATCGCCTATTTATATCTGCCAAAGTACTTGACTTTATGATTTGGCATCACAGAGAGCACAGAAATGTTATTGCAGGCTTGGTTTGTGTATTTTTAAAAGGTCTTATAATTAGGAATCACCATGAAATTAGCAAGTTTCAGTATTTACTGATTCACTTGTAGTTAAGCTTGGCAGAAGAGCAGTTAACACTATAAAGCCAGCCAGCCCATCATCAGTTTAAAATAGCCATGGTGATTTAATAGGGGAAAATACCGCTTCCATAATGTGAAATTAATGATCCATAATAGAAACTGTCCATATTGTTTGCCCAAGATGTAACAAGATGTGAGGATATTTTCCACTGACTGCTTTACTTGTCTCTACATTACAAATATAACTGAAAACTACTGTGCACAAAATGTTACAAAGAAGTTTGAACATGATTTTATATTAAGAATTCAAATATGCATTTATGTTGAATGGGTAGGGAAAGTGTAGCTGGGCACATATAAGTAATAATATCTGTTAGCATAAGTTGACCAGATCCTCATATTCAGTTCACAACAATTGCATTTGCATTTCATTTAATTTTTACTTGAAACTGGAGGAATGTTTACGATGTTGTTTTCTCTTATACAGAACCCAGGAGCAAAGTCTTCTGTTCAAATTGTTTATTAATCAGCTGAGCCTCACAGTATATGATGACATCACGAACTCTAAAACATCATCAGAACTTCTGCGGTTCACAGTAGACCACATTTATCTTCATATGGTTCCAGTTGCTAGCTACCTTAGACCACTCTTTCACAAATTTCAAGGAGAGACTACCAGTGGCCTTCAGCAATTTTATACTCTCCAGGTCTACTGTGGAGACTTACAGCTGGACAATCAGCTTTACAACAAGTCGAATTTTCATTTTCCAGTGGTGTTGTGCCAGGGAGAAAAAAATGAAACCATACAGTGGGCTAAAGTCCATAACCTTATGCTTTCCAGTAAAGACCTGGAAGAATGTAACAATAATGCATTTGTAAAACTTTGTGTCACTTTGTCAAAAGAGCAGCATTTATTATTTCATGTGAATGATCTCAGTTTTGAAATGAAACCAACCAGGTTATATGTGGAAGATACATTTGTGTATTACATTAAGACTTTATTTGAGACCTACCTTCCAGACAGCAAAAGTGTTTACCGTTCCACAAAAACATTGACTGTAAGCCAGGCACTGCCAGAAAGGGTGAGGCAGCATGCAAATGCTTTAGTCAATCCAGTAAAGTTAAGGAAGCTGACCATCCAGCCAGTTAACCTCTTGGTGAGCATCCATGCTTCCCTGAAGATATATATTGCTTCAGATCACACTCCTCTCTCCTTTTCTGTGTTTGAACGAGGACCCCTTTTTACAACTGCCAGGCAGCTTATTCATGCCCTGGCCATGCATTATGCTGCAGGAGCGTTATTCCGAGCAGGTATGTTGTTGTTTTTTAATAATTGTACACGTTTTTCTAGATTAAGTTTAAAATGTATGCTTGCATTTCTGAAAAGTAGCAATAGAAGTTATGCTTGGTCCTACACTGATGACTGAAATATGTACCGTTATCCACCCAACTATTTTAGAGATACCTGTTCTTTTGGGGCGGGGGGAATCAGGAGTCTGGTAGAACTTTTTCTAACAGATTTTATTAAAAGGCATAAGCTTTCATGAGCTGCAGCTCACTTCATCAGATGCAAGAATAAGCTGAGAAATGACCATGACTTAATCATTATATGTCACAGAGATTGTACCTAAGGCTACAAATGACTTAGAATTAACTTCCATTCTTACTCATTGAAATGTTATTTCAATATTAATGCTGTAGGCTAGATTGAACACATCATAGAAGAAGAGAGAGGCAACCAAATCGTTTCCATGCTGTTGCTAAGAACAATTGCATACCCTATCTATTCAGGTAGCAGAAGTTAAGTTCAGCCTAGGAGATTTTACTTTTTATTGTCAGCATGCTTATTGCTCTGCAGTTGCAAAGTAACAATGCTGTCTCAAAGAATATTGTATTTAAAATCTCATCTGAAAATGACCAGAAAATTTAGTAATATTAAACAGCAATAATTACTTGGACTTTAATGGGATATTCACAAGGCTTGACACAAATAGAGGGATGGTACTACATTCTCATTATCTCTTTGCTGTCTTAGCCAACTACTCAACTCAGAGTTCAAAACCATTTCTTAATATGATCTCACAAAAGGAGCTTCTTTTGTGGCATTATTCAATCCATCTCCATACATTCGAAGCAAATTAGGCCATTGAAAACTGTGTTCTTGTTCGGTTTCCCTTTAACTGTCGTTTATGATTAGCAATCTGTCTTTCTTCCCAGAATCCTCACATTAGACTGGCATGCAGATGTTTATTGTCCTTTGATCTGAGGAGTGTGTTTGTTTTACTGATTCTTTGCCATCAAAGATCAATACTGAACAAACAGTCTTTTAGATCAATGGATAGCTTGTCTTCCTCCCATACCTGCACATTCACAAAGCGACTCCATCTCTGCGGCACTTTTTTAATGTATATGTGTGTACATTGCATTGAAGCAATTATCTTCTTCATTCCATCTGTTTTGGACTAGATCATTCCAACGTATGTGTGCTCGTGTCAGTCACTGTGTGAATGGGTGATAGTGGAAGAGCTAATTTCATGTATATCCGGGGCCCATGTAAAGGTAGGACACATCCAGATTGGTCGGTTTGTAAGACAGGCTTAGATATGAACTCCTACATTGTTTCCTATGAATTGGTAGATAAGCAAACCATTAAAAGGGCTCATTGTTCACACCTGCCTTGCATGCTTAAAATCCCAGAATTATTTCTAGTTCAGAAGGAGTAGATAGCAGGAGCTGAGAAAGTCTGAGGTCTTAAAATGCCAGTCAGAATGGATAATGCTGGACTGAAAAAACAAATAATCTATTGATATTGAACAGCTGTTAATTCATTCAGCTCTGCCAACCCTAAGGAAATCTTTCCTTGTGACAACCCCTTCACTCAAATGTGAGCTTGCAATATAAGCTATATCTGGTATATAAGCAATCAAAACATTGAAAGCTTTATATATATTATCAGCAAAAGTGTTTACAGTACTGTTCCCCAAAAGCCTTGGGTCTAAGTCAGATAGTGCCTGAATGAGCCAGCGTGAAAATATGATCAGTGAAATGATCTGAAAGGTGAGCCCCAGGACAAGCATCATAGTGGATGCTGGGCTAGAGAGTTTGGTACCATGCAATCTGAGCATACTTGCACATTCACTACTATGACACTAGTATCCTGGTGCGCACATATAACCATTTGGGATAGTAGCTGATACTAACTACCACTGCTTGTTTGGATTTCTGAGACTATTGCAAGAAGGTAGGGTTGGGGGTATTTTTGAAATAGTGTTGATTTTGCTTGTTTGATACCCTCTGGGGTTGGTTGGTTGGTTGTTTGTTTCTTGTAGGATATAGGCAAAACAATTGAGGTGGAAAATGCAGTTCTACCTTAAGATGATCAAACAAGTTATCTGTTTCATTTGCACAATGCTTAATTAATCTCATAAGCCTTATTGCAGAATCAAAGAAACAGCTTTTGTCAGAGTAGACTCTTAACTATTGTAGCTTATGTGGTGATTCTTTTTTTTTAAGTTGCCTTCTAAATAATGGAATGAAAAATCATAATGTTGAAATATTTTTTGTTATTGGCTTGAAAGTCAGTTGCTATATCAAATTACTTCTAGACTTTTCTATAACCTTGTAAGTTGATCAGTATGATAAAGCCCTCTCACTCTGAAATATTTTTCTATCGTAAGTTGCAGAAATACTGCATTAAGTGAAAAGAACTGGCATGAGAAATTGTCCATCTATTGTGGCTGCTCAGTTGATCATAACATGTGTGGACAGCTGGCCAGGCATTCAGGCAGGTGCAAACTTGGGCTCTTCTAGTCCTGGCAGGAGGCTCTTTCTAGCAACCTTCACGATGCGCTGGCTACAGAGAACCTTCTAGCCCTGGTGTCTTCGCATTGCTGTAACGTGCTCGGAGTCAGGCTTTCTGCTGGCAACCGTAACTTTGTGTGAGAAACGAAATCTTAGAAACTCCTCCACCCTCAAGCCCTTGTGGGGAACGTATAAGGATCCTCCCTCTGAGTAATTTAATCATCATGCAAATGCCATTTCTGTTTACAGTTATGTTGAGCAAGAAGTCATTTATCTGGCCATAACTGGACTCTACAGGAAAGTGATCAGCACAGAGCTGTTGAGTGGATTAAAATCATTCCTTGTGTGCTTGTCAAAAACCTGCATCCCCTTTCCCAACACCCCATCAAGCCGCTGACCTTCACACTCCCCAAGGCGGGACAGTGTATCACTGTAAACTGGCTGTCATGACTCTTCTGCTGGGCGGACGTGAAATAACAAAGTTGCTTTGCAAGATGTAAAGCCTCCGGAGCAAAATAAGCCTCTGGTCCTATTATTCCCAGCCGTCTGGCTGCAGCATCCCTCTCTCCACACGCAGCTTTAGCAGAAATACGGGAGGCTCATGAAAGGAAGTCATTTTAAAGCTATTTGTGTTTTTGCCAAAGAGATTTCTTTGATTTAGAAAGCGTGAAAGATTGCCATTGCTGAATCTGTAGCGGATGAGCTATTTCCCGTGTTTTCCTCAAAGGAAGTTCATGATGTGATAAATTTTAGTGTAAAAAAGGGGTGGGGGGATGAGAGTGGGGTTTTTTTCCATCTTTTTCTTTTTATTTAACTGCAATTTCTGTGAAATTAGCGTGAGCCTCAGCTCATTTTTTACCACACATCTCTTTGCAGGATGGGTTGTGGGATCTCTGGAAATTCTTGGCAGCCCAGCCAGTTTGGTAAGAAGCGTTGGGAATGGGATCGCGGACTTCTTCCGGCTTCCATACGAAGGTCTCACCCGTGGCCCTGGAGCCTTTGTTAGTGGGGTTTCCAGAGGAACCACGTCGTTTGTAAAGCACATATCTAAAGGTATCCATCTCTTCTCCCCAATTCCAGTACAGCCCTAAGAGAAGGCATCACTTTCTCAGATGAACTTGCCACCCTCAGCTGTATTTAAGCCCCTTGAGTCTCAGGGAATGGTGTATGTTGCTGTGTGGGTGCATTTGGGGTGGGGGGAGAGAGGACCTCCTCTACTTTTTCTATTCTACTATTGTTTCTACTAGTGATTTAAGCTTTCCCACATGACCACTTTGTAATGCAGTAACTGAACAGAAATGTTAAAGAAGTTCAGTATTTCTGCAGTACCTCAGAAACCTTACACCACATTGCCTCATCATATGTAGTTGAAAAGATAATAATAGACACTGTTATTAAATATTGCTGAGCACATTTGTAAAGCAAGCCCACATCTGGCTTTCCCCGGATTTGTATACAGACATAGCGCCATCTTGTGGCTTCAAAGGCCAAGCGGAAAACAGAAAAGATTCAAAGCACTGCCAGATTATCAAAGCGTTGCCAGCAGTTCAAAGCATTGTCAGATTATCTCCAAATAGTGTTATTATTTGCTGAATCTTCATTAGCTCAACACTGCTTGATTTAGGACAGAGATTAACAATCTTTTCATATCCAGACAAAAATCATGCTTGTTTCTGCTATGGCATGGATGCTGAAAATTTTTTAAAAATTGAAATTCCCCCTTTGAAAATCTGGGGGAAAAAAAATCTAAGAGCGTTACTTAGTCTTGAAATTCCATGAAGTCCACTATAGACTGCCACATTGCCAATCCCAGTTTAAGATTTGTTGTATCACAGTTACAGCAGGCCTCATTATAAAGTCTGCTGGGTGGGTAAAGAATTGTACTGAGGACATGTAACATATATTATTCATGTAAGATACTGTTTTTATGTGTTACAGGCCCTGATTGTGTAGAGAAAATTCTGAGCCAAGTAGTTTCCAATGTTTTTAAACAAAACAGTAACATCCCTCGCCGTTTCCAAATGAACTGGGCATTTACTCATCTGTTTGCCTTCAGGTACACTAACATCCATTACCAACCTAGCAACAAGCCTGGCTCGAAATATGGATAGGCTTTCATTGGACGAGGAGCATTATAATCGGCAAGAAGAATGGAGAAGGCAGCTGCCGGAAAATCTGGGAGAAGGACTAAGACAAGGCCTTTCCCGACTGGGCATCAGCCTTCTAGGTAAGGAGCCCCATTATGTCCACCATTTGGGAGGACATGATCTGAAAATATCTGCAGGTTGAATATGTTTATTTGGAGCTACAGTATTCATTTGGTCATTTTCCTTTTGCCAACTCGAGTAGAACTTTTTGACTTTGGTTTCCAATTCCAAATCGTTCCTTGAGTGAGGGCACAGACATAGAGAGCCAGAGGATCGCTGGCAGAAGCAAGATCTGTGTGCCCCGTAGTGTAGACGTTGCAGTCTCCGCTTGGCAAAATAAAGTTCCTCCACTATTCTCAATTCCTCTAATTTTTCCATTTAACTGAAAGTGAGTTACATATTTCCACATTGGTGGGGATTAGAAAATTCATTTGAAATGAAAGCTTGTGTCAGACCTAGCCACTGCCAAGTGGAGGGAACAGGGGCTGGGCAAGCAAAGCAAAGTTGAAAAGCAAGGCTGTTGCCTTGGACAGCAGAGTTATGTTCTCAACTGTGATGGGATCCTCCCTTGGGGACACAGGATATGTTTTGGGATGCGGGGGGAGCAGATACATTATTTTCATGTATTATTTGATTTCCTCTCCCTAGCCAGGCCTTGGGTAGGCTGATTATCCCTGGCAAGCAACTCTCCCTGAATCATATCGGACTTGCAGGGGTGACTACCTCTCCCCCCATCTCATCCTCTTAATCTAATCTGAGAAAAAGAGAGCTCAGAAAAAGCTCTGGTTTCTTGTAATTATGAGTTCCTATAATCTTGGAGGGGAACAGAGACATCCTGTTTTAGCCATCTGGTAAGAACGATGCTAGATGAATGCTCCATTCCACAAAGCTGTATATGTAGCAGCAACTGCATGTGAATTCTCCACACTTGGGGAACAGATTATTTAATGGGGAATCACAGAGTAATCTAATTCAGAAGGAAAGCAAGTTCACAGGAATGACTGCCTGAGGCCACGACTCCAAATCTGGAGTAGAAATGAATTGTGTTTAGCCTCTGGCTTTAACTTGTTACTCCCCCTGTTGTTCCCAGTATGGGCTAACTAGATCTTACTAGATTCTAGTACTTACTTAAGGATTCCCTGCAGGCTAGCAGAACAGCTTGTCCTGGGCAAGGAATACTGTGTTCAGTATCACTGCAGCAAAGTAGGTTTAGGAACACAATCCGCTGAATGTGAACGGAGATGAATGCCCATTTAAAAATAACACCAAAAAGCCACCAGAAACTACCTGCCCCAAGCTAAAGGCTATGGAGGAGTAATACTTAAAAATGCATTCTATACTTTTATTTGCATATATTATGTAGTAGGATCATGAAAAATATTTGAACCTTTTAATTATGCGAATGAAGTGTTTGCACCACATGGGAGCATGTACAAAGCACCTGTGTCTGAATCATTAAAAGGAGCTGTTTTGGGGGGAGGGGGATTTGCGCAGCAGCTGTGGGAGCTGTTCCTGGATGTCTTCACACGCGCATGCATGCAAAGCAACTTTATTTTCTTACTATTCTGTAAATGGTAGGAAGACACAAGAGTTCCATTTTTTTCCTTTCAAATGATGTTGTTTTCTGATGTTTCCATTGCTTCATAACTCAAGCACTCTTCAGTTTGCTTGATTATAAAACATCTGGAGGGCACCAACTTGGGGAAGGCTAACTTAGATGCTTGTTTTTGTTTGAAAACCACTAGTTCAAATGTCAAATAAACGTTGATGAAAAATATTTCTTCAGGAGAAGGAGACACATTGCACCAACCTAATTAACCACTATATAGAAATTTCTGAAAGGAAAGTAGGATTTAGAATTGTGAAGGAAGAATGTACACAGACTTTTTTTTACTAGCCAAAAAATCACAAATATGTATTGCTTGGCAAATGCTTTTATGAGACCACATTATCACCCTGTGAGATCAAAGTGGCTAGAAATAAGCAAACATAAAAGTTCAGAAGAATCTAGTTTGAAAAGATTTTTTCGGTTTCTTAAAAAAATTCCTTGCCATGCAATTCAACTTAAGAGCAAAAATAGACATTATAAATAGAATAGCAATCATATTTCATGGCTTCTCTTCTACCCTGCAGTAGAAGGAAATTTTTATGACTATTATTATCATCATTTGCATCATGCATTTCATTATTCCCATAAACTATGTTGTACTGACATTATAAGGAAGGGGCTCAATAGGGCTACTTTCACATTTCTTTTAAGCTTGGCTTGATCCCCAGATCACAATAAGTCATAATGTGATTTGCTTTTCATTTAGTGTGATGTGTGAATGGGAAGACTGAAAAACAATATTTTTTTTAGACTAAAATCAGAGTTTGTACCTTTCTAGCTTATACCTGCTTTATTTTTATGCTCTCCACAAGTCTTATTCTAACGAACATTCAAAGGGTGCAAGTTGAGAGCTGCTAAAATAAGTGGCAAAATAAACCAGGAATTGGTCAAATAAGCCATTATTACTTTATGCAACAGAAAGACTGACTAACTTGTTTTGGATTCAGCGAACAATGAGTGAACCAAACTATAGTTCAGCATGATATGTAAATGCAATTAGTGGCCTAATTCATACATAACATTAAGCCATATTCTGGTTTGTTATTTTTCGCTGTATTTTATGTTATGAACCAGATTAATATAACTTGTTCAACAAACCGTAATTAAAATCCTGGATTATCATATATGAACTAGGACAATATACCTACCTGGAAATAATTTGCCAGGGAAATTTTCAAATGATAGAAATTAGAATAAGGTAACTGCTAATCATGTTATGAACCTACAGCAACCCTCTCTAATCTGGGCATCATCCCAAGCAAGATTTCAGCTCCCAGAATTCCCCAGCCATTATTTAGAATTCTGGGAGTTGTAGTAGACACATCTGGAAAGCACCCAGGTTGGGGAAAGCTAACCTAGGGTGCAGTCTTTTGAAAACTCTCCAGGACAGGACCTGCCTGGAAGCAGGATGAAGCAACTTATTTCAGATGTCCTGTAAAGGCCCAATGAAGGTAGGAACTGGTTTCTAAATGGTGTTAACTAACTTTAAAAAAAAAATCCTAATAGCTGGTGAATACCATTCACTTTCAGCAATATAGATATAGATACGGATACATCAAGACATATCTTAAAAGAAAATTGCTACAGCAGAAGGTTGCACTTTGAAATCTTAACAAGCAGAATCCTCAATAAAAGCATCATGTGCAAACTATTATCCAAAGAATTTTTTTTTTAAAATCCATTTTGTATTTTAGCTATGATAGCCTTGGGCAATCACCCAAAAGAAAATTTGTGGTGCATGATTAATATGTGCCCACAGTATTCACCATTTATTTGTGCCACTGCACTCCATACCATAATTAGAGTCCTGCAGAAAAGTTCTTGAGAAAGGTCAGAAGTTCTTCTGTACAGTTAAAGTTTCAGTATCCACAACATCTCCTTCGTTCTTAGATTAGCCACATAGAAGATTGGCTGAATTTATCTAGCTCTGAAGATTTTCTTGAAGGTTCCCATTATTATATGAATACTTGTGACTGGAACAATAGAATCTTCTTGATGTTCCAGGGATTTAGACACTGTGCTGGAAACCTGCAGTTATTCCTGTTATATTTCACTCAAACGGATCACTTCTTGTTCTTAATTGCTGCCTTTACTCAAGATATAGACAAGAAATTTGAGTTTACAATTTGGCTTAAGCTACGTTGCCTGCACTGTTTTCCTTAAACAGAATGAAAGTCTTGAACTGGCATTCAGATTCTGTTTACAAATTCTTTATTGCTGAAATAATTCCCACTACTCTTAGTCTCAGAAAAATTAACTATCCAAATGAATTACAAGCACTTTGTGATATAAGTATCTGAAGTATCTAAATTGCATTTTAGGAGTAATGATATACAAGCAGATTTTTCATGAGCACCAGATTTTATCATCTGCCAGGATTTTAAAGTATCACATCTCAACACAAACCCAGCCTGAGTGTACAGTTCTGCAAATAACGGATCCATCAATATTATTTGGTTTCTCCCTGCAATCTGTTTTTCACCTGTCTCTTCTGGTGTACTGAGATTTTAACAAAATATTTGTCACGGCTCTTCCCAGGTTTCATTGGTTTACCTTCTCTGATGCCTCACATGGGTTTGTCCATGCCCTTGAAAGGTTCCAGTAGCACATTCTAAAGTTCATTGGAGTTACTTTTTGAAAGCAAGGCAAATTTAGGAATCTAAAATTGTGATGGATGGGAAGAAATAAAACATGTTGAACTTGATAAATACAATATTTTTCCAACTATTATTGAAGGAGAGGAACACATCTAGAATCTTACTCAAACGGGGTGGGGGAGAGGCATAAACTGCTAGTATAACTGTTTCCAAGATGGGATGTTGCATTGGCATCTATTTTATCTAACCTCTTTTGTCCAGAACTTACTAGCAGATAAAAAGAGTCTGGAATACATAGGATGCATTTATTAGTTCCCAGTGACATTATTTAAGTGTGGTTTGCTGAAAACATTGTATTAATTCTAACAATAGGAAAGTTTTTAAATGTTTAAGAAACTATTAAGTTCTGAGCAATTTCTCTGGATGGACAAAATAGGTCAGGTGAAAGAAGCCAGTAATGGTGACTTAATACTGTTTTTGGGAAGACCATTTTGCTTTTCTTTTTAGATGCTGTAGTGTAGTATAAAGAAACAAATCTCCTAACACACAGATACACACACGAGAGCAAGAATATTTGTTAAGAAATAAGAAAGTTGCAAGAACAAGTCACTGTTAATGGGGCAGCATGTCCTTTTCAATAAAACATAAGAGAGAAGTGTTTCAGGGAGGGGTAAATTTCCTATTATAATTCTGCAGTATGCACTGAAAGCCTAATGGCTTCTGCATGTTCGAGATTTTCCCCAGGGGTTCACCCATCATTCAGCTGCTTTCATGGGGCTCCAGATCTGTATGGAAAGTTTGGAATCAGGCTTCAGTTAAACACCGATAAGAGTAAAAAGAGAAGGAAGTTTCAGGGGAAAGAAGCTACAGAAGAGGAATGAAGCACCCCCTTCGCTTCTTCAGCATGAATTACTTCCTGTTGAGGGCTATCTGCAAAAGAGAAAGGCAGCTGTAGTAGTATAGTTTGGTACTGAAATGCAAGATAAAATGAGAGAACACATTTTTTAGTGTGTTGGGGTTTTATACAAGGAGTAATTACTGTAATTGCATTCCACCACCACCACCCCCAAAATGCACTGAAGACTGTACCACACATGTGTTAGATACTTAGCATCTTCTGCAATACTGTGTGCATCTTTCTTTGATGATGGGTACTTGTCTAATTCTTGGCATGCCTATGCCACAAAATATACATCCTCATCCTAGAGCAGTGTTGTCCAAATCTGGCCACTTTAAGATGAGTGGACTTCATGGCTGGCTGGGGAATTCTGGGAGTTGAAGTCCACTCATCTTAAAGTGGCCAGGTTTGGACAAAACTGTCCTAGAGAGAGACCAAGGACAATTTCTGCAAGGGTGACAGCTGGGTAAGGAATAAAGCAAACGTGATGTGGCCTAGAGGAGGAAATGTTTCATTTGAAGAACAGCTGAAGTCACTTTATATGACCATTACTAATATTTAGTAAATTGCCACCATAGTAAAGCAGTAGTTTTAATACAATTTTATACCACTCATTCCTTTAATTGTTTTCTACATCATGATGTACCAGTTAAAGGGAAAAATACTTGCATCTCATCTCAGGACTCAGGCGTGGATTATAAGATAGATGCAAAGAACCATCTGAAACAACCCCAGAGTCATGGCTAGCTTGAGAGTCTTATGGTGGATAGAGGTTCTACCTATCAATTAAGGTGGTTTTGTTGTCTCCAGGGACACCTAATATTTGTGTGGGTTTTTTTGTTTTTATTTTTGGGCACATAGTGAACAGCGGTTGGCCATAATACAGTTATTATTGTCCAGATGGGATGCAAAAGATGTCTCTTCTCCATATTTGTACAAAGTCCTTACAAAGAGATCTGCAGGCTTTACCGAGTATTTCCTGTGCTGAATGATGACCTTGAGCATCATAAGCACTTCAGATTCATAATGTAACACCTTGTCACCTTGTTCAATCATTGTCCTTTTAGTAAGATCCAAATAGCTTATCCATCAAAGTTACAACAGCTAGAGGCATCTCTGTGGTACGTGGCTTGAATAAACTCAGGATCAAAGAGAGATCCCACCTGACATACCTGTTTACATTTAGGGAGATTTAAACTGCTATCCTCTGTTGATATGAAAAGCTGGAGGGGTCACTAAGGCACTTGTAAAAGTTTGACCTATACACATTAAAATAAAATATGATTGTGTTCAGAAAAACAGTAACAAAAGTCTCCAGGCCTAATTCTACTAAGCTTAGTAATATATCAGAGATTGCATTAGTTTATGAGCATTTTTGTAATATAAGGGCATATTAAAATGATATATTGGACATAGGAATTTTTTCTTATGAAGTCAGGCTTAGGGGGTTTGTGAGATTTACTTTAGATAATAACCTGAAGTCTCTCTATGTTAGCAGAAATTTGTTCTTATGTAAAATACACATTCATACATACAACATATTCAATTTTACCATTTCAACAACTATATTTAGAGAAAAGATGAAAATTTTAAAAATCCATTATGAAACCAAGTTTAAATGTTTATATACTAGTCCCCAACATGGTGCCCACCTACAGACATCTACATTGGTGCCTATCAGGTTCCATATCCTATGCCTCACCTGATTTTATTTGTTTTAGATTGTTTTATATTAAAGAAGTAAATGTGAAGTCAGCATGTTGCAAAGCATAACCCTTACTTCCAAGAATGCTTCTGAACTCCTCAGACATCTCATCAGACATTATAGAAACTACAGCTCAGTGCTTTCTTTGGAAGTGTGCTCACCTACCCAGAAAGAAGACAGAAATAAAGGGTGGTATGAGACATTCAGAACCACTAGAGTGGTTATTAGGGAGCAAGCTCATAAATTTGCTTTCTGGTAAACTGACTGTTTTGTAACTGGCTATGTCCATCATTGCAGTAATTTGGGCTGAGGGCCCATAACATGCTCTCAGAACTCCAAATTTGTGAGGCAGATCAAAAAGTTGGGGTCCCTTATTTAAGTGAAAGCGAAGTAGAAGATGTGACTAGCAGAAATTTCCCTACACTGAATTAAAGGGATTGAATGTCTGCTCCTTATTGTTGTATTAGACAAAATGGCATAAGATTCAAATAATATGAAGCAAACGGGTTCAGAAGTCAATATTTCATCCTGGTCTGGGATTATATCCTTCTATAATACTTGAAAACTCATTACAGGTGCAATTGCTGGGATTGTAGACCAGCCAATGCAGAACTTCCAGAAGACATCAGAAGCCCAGGCTTCAGCTGGACACAAAGCCAAAGGCGTGATCTCTGGCGTGGGGAAAGGAATCATGGGAGTTTTTGCTAAGCCTATTGGAGGAGCAGCTGAGTTAGTCTCACAGACTGGCTATGGTAGGTTTGAGCAAATGTATGAATTCAGCGTATTACAAGTTCATTGACAGTTTTCATATATTATTTTAATTGTAGCATGTACATCTTATTAAATCTTATTAAAGATACAAATTTCCCTTTTACCATCACAATCTTTTAATGAGATTACATTATTTTCCTAGTTCAGATATTTAGCCTTCATGACCCAGTTATTCTGTATATTAAGAAAATAAAACAGACATGGAATTTTATGGAAAATGCAGTCAAGAGCCAAACTGGGACTAAAAAGGATTTTGCAAAATCTACAATCCATTGCAAAACTAGCAGATTCTATAGCAGAAATTTTGTTGAGAACTTAGATTAAATCTTGTTAATAAAATATAAACAACAAAATTAAGTTATACATTCCTGCTTACTCTTTAGCCATTACCTATCTCAATGAGGAAATCCATGAAGCCCAGATGATATCATACAATTTTCAAAGGATTAAGCAACTACAGAATAGATGTCCTTTACTGTCATTATCTTATTAATGTAAATCATTTCCTTATAACAAAAAGGGGGACGTGCTGTCTGTGAATTTTAGAAGTTGTGGTCTCAGCTTAAATGTAGGCATCAGGTTAAGGAAATCTAATTTAAAGTGTTTGAGGTGGCAAATTGCTTAATAGTAATTATTGTAGAATAAAATCATCCTGCTTGCTAACAAGTCCAGCCTTTCTTTCAATCAAGAGCAATGTTGATTGTCCCATATTTTCTTCAGGGTGGCTAAAGAGTAATAGTAGGGCAGTGAAAAATCCAGAAGTCTTTCTAAAAAAATAAACTTTTTAAAGGATGAGAAAAAAATAGTAATGAAAGGGTAAGACAATCCGAAGGCAGTTTTGGAGATGGGAGGCAACTTCTAGAGAAACACTCTTCCTCCCAAATATTTCATGGGTCTTTGAGATGGAGGTAGATGGGGCACCATTTATTACCTTAAATAAATGGACAGCACTGACTGTGTGGAAGATGGCAGCTTTTAGATACCTTCTTCTGAAGCTATAAGGAACCAAAGCCAAGAATCAAATTTGCAAGGTTGGTAATATTGTTAGTATTATCTCATGCATATATACCATGAAATGCTGTGGACTAGTGGGAGCTAAGTGCCCATTCACACCAAGATCACACTTTTGTCTTGATAACCATATTACAACTAAGTTGCCAACTGCTCTTTCTGCTTCTAGATTTAGTGTTGGAAAGAATAAGGATGTGTTCTGAATTTTCCTACCAGGGCATATGACACCACTGTGTATAGTATGCTCACTTTCTTTGAGCCAGGCCCAGATAATGTAGTTATTCCATTAGTGATACATTAGATTGTATCCAAGGATTGCAAACATTGTACATGTTATTGCTATAATGTGATTACTCATATGGCATCTTCCTTTAACTGGTTCAACATTTTCCTCCTTGAGATGAATCACTGGCCACTGACACTGGCCAACTTTTTGATTTCCATTAACTAAATTTGTAGGCATTATTTTGCACCCAAAAGAATGAAGAGTCTAACCACAGAGGCTCTGTTCTGCTCCTCCGTGCTTTTAAACACATTTTGGAGGTAAAGATCCTTTCTGGACAAATGACAAAATTAGAGGCCTAAGTTTCAAGCAGACCCCTTTCAGAAAAAATGGGGGGGTCATCCAAAGGGTACTCTCACAGGTTTCCCCCATGTTCTTCATCAGCTCCAAAGGCCTAAAAAGTAGCCAAAAAAGAACCAGGGAAACCTAAGCCACAACTCTTTTTCTTCAACATATGCCTTCTTCTGCAGCTCCCACTCCACATCTAAGATTTTCCAAGAATCTCCTGATTCTCTGGAGAGGTTTCAGAGGGACAGCATGAAACCGTTCTGCGTGGCTGTTCTCCCACATAGTTGTTTATCCGATGTGTGTGTGCAATACGTACAGCTCTTTAGCCTGTTGAGTGAGTGGAAATTGTACATAAAACTTTGGTTCTAGGAAAACTAGAGGAAGAAGTACAAAATTGGAAGATAGTGTAAGAGATGTTCCATGTATGTATTTTAGACTTTTAAAAAATGTTGGCAACTGAGAAGCAACCCAAAATAATGGAGAGATGCACTTCACTGCAAACAGTGGCTTGAAACCAGAGAGCAACTTTAGCAGAGCCAACTGTTTGCAGGCCCTCAGGAGGATTGTTTTTTTTGTTTTTTTTATTTTTGGTTCTTTGAATAACAACCCCTCCAAAAAAATGTCAAGTTCTTTTGCAACTCTCTCGTCCTCCATTTGAAAAGGGGTTTGCAGTGCAATGTTGGCTTAGGTGCATAGAATTAATGACAGGGTGTTCTAGATTCTGACAACTGTATTCGTATTTTCTGTGTCTATTGGCTGAGAAAACAGAGAACACCCAAACCTCTTCCATAATAAATGGAAGTGCATGGATCAGTATCTTGGTCTTGACTAATGGGCAAATGGGCTTATGCCCTACGGGGGGAACAAGACCACACAGAAGTAATCACATGCTCTCTCTTTTTCCAACTGCCAATGACAATTTCATGTGCAATAACACTGAAAAACCTCAATCGGCTAATTGTTGTAACTGGAATGTATCTTTTAAGCATTACCAGGAGTTTGTGTGTTCAATATTAAACTTTATTCTTCCCCAACAAAACCAGTGCATTATTTAATTTGGTATTTGTTTTATAAATTTCTACCCTGATGTAGAAATGTTTACTCTGCTATGAGTGCATGCAACCTGTCAAGGCTAAATCAACCTCCAACCTGGCCCCACAGTCTCACCCATTAGTGCTCAGCATTCTCCCTATCCAGAAACTGCAGTCTTAAGCTGCACCCCAGTTTCAATTCCTCTTGTAAAACGTTTATCTTTGAAGTATATTATTCAAGTGTTGACACTCTGCCATTTCTCAGTATAAGAACCATGCCCTTTATGTATGAAAATGTACCTGCCATCAGAAAGCAACGTGCCAAGTCACCCCCTTGTTCTATTCTGATCAGCGCAAACAGAAGAGCAGTAGCTTTGCAGAGCTCTACTGTAGCGCAAGACACTTCTCAAGTTTCAGATACCCCAAGAGAATTCATAAACATTTGGGTTTCATGTTTAGCAGCTGCATTAAGTAATTTATATTGAAATGCAGTATCTAGGGCAAATTTAGCTGTTGATGTTTACTAATTGTGAGATACGCATGAAAGAATGTGGAAAGTTAACCATGGTCTGGAATTGTTATGCCTACATTCTTAACTGACTTGTCCAATCCCATTCTAAACCTATGGCTCTCAAGAGCATTCGGTTTTTCCTAATTGCTAGTATGTGACTGACATTCTGTCTTTTGTTTATTTCTAATGCTAAAATCCATTAGGGTTAAGTGCATGATTATTGTATTCTAATATTGAATGAATTATCTCCACTAGAGCATCCAAAGATGTGACATCACTTTGGATCTGCACAATTTTATGGACTGCTTTAAGAACATGACATCACTGCAACATGTTTCTCTTCTCCCTCCTCGTAAAAACAAAAACAGCCTAACTTTTCTCACCACAGGTATTTTGCATGGGGCTGGACTTTCCCAGCATCCTAGACAGCGCTGCCCTCCAAGCGATCAACATGCTGAACAGGCACCAAACAGCCACGTCAAATACGTCTGGTAAATTATCTGGATACTGACTCATTTCTGTACCCAAAGTGTTGATTAATAGATTCTGGACTCTGGTCAAATTAACGCTGTTGCCCAAGCAAAAGGCTGAGTTACAGCAGAATATTTAGGAATGCTAAACACAAAGTTCCTATTCAGAGGCCCTCTCTCAAAATCAATTCTCCTTTGAGCTTTGGAAATCTGATGCTAGCCTGTCTTTGTTTATAAAAGGTATTACATAGATGCCTTTGCCCAAATAGTGGACATCTCCAGAAATAGCTGTTAGTTTCTTCTTCTCAGTTTGGTTCCAGTTTCCAGTTCCAGTCTCTTGGAGTGGATTCAGTGTTGGAATGAGAAATGAATTGGACAAAGGAGATGTGATTGTGACCATCAGTTAGGTCAGCTTGGCTGCAGAACTGGAGGTTTGAGAGTATTACAAAATAAACAAGACCTCTTTGGGATTTAAAAACATAGCTAGGTTTGCAAAAAACTGCTGTCTCTGTGTAATGCTACTACTGCTTCCTTTAAAAAAAAAAAAAAACACTCAGAAATGTTGACTATCAGGTGAACTTATGTTCTTTATCTTGAACATTTTTTTTGTAGGAAAATGCTTCAGTCACTAGGGAGACCAGAGGCCTACATGGCCCTGGATGTGGTCATTGTGAGCGGATCAGGCCAAGAACATGAAGGATGTTTACTACTTACCTCAGAAGTGCTGTTTGTGGTTAGCATTGATGAAGACACACAGCAACAGGCATTCCCAGTGACAGAAATTGAGTGTCTACTAGACAGTGAACAAAGCAATCTGTTGAAGGTGCAGCTCAAACAGCCGAGAGTCCCTGGTGATGTGGAGGTAAAGCTGTTTCACTGCTACTTGTAATCTTTACAAACCACCATGATTTTTTTGAAGTTTATTAGCTATACACTGCCCATTTCAATAAATCTGTGTTCTCTGATTTCAGGCAGATGGAAACAGAGAGAGACTGTCTGAACAGCAGTACAACAGACTTGTTGACTACATTACGAAAGCATCCTGCCACTTGGTTACTGTCCCCGTGTCTGTACAAAACACAGCTCCCCTCGTAGCTGCAGAACCAGTTCCAGCAACACTAAAGACTTACCAATACCTGGTTAATCCCATTTTTGCTCATGTATTCATCAGTAAATTTACTATGGTAAAAAATAAAGCTTTGAGAAGAGGGTTTAACTGAAAACACCCTGCTGAAATGCTTCCAGATTTAAAGTACTATCTATGCAGTTGCCTAATATGAACTTTTAAATTCCACATCACATGAAACCGATGAGCTTAAACTTAGGTGGGCTGGGATAGCGAACTAGCACATTTAAAAAAGAGTCTATTTTGCACTCAGTACATTTGAGATGAATTCTGTAGTCTGCTTTATGAGACAAAATTATGCATATACGTTGTAAACTAAGCTGTCAGTAAGCAGAAATTGGCAACCCTGTAAGGTGACAGTGAAAATCTTTTCTTTTTAACTGGAAGTCTGATATGCAAAGATAGGCAGAATGCACAGAATTAACATTAGAATGTTCTTGTCCTACAAATCTTTCTGTTCCTTCTTTCATTCTTTCTAAAGGGGTGCCAGTTTCTATTAGCAAAGTTTAGAACTCAGCTTTAAAAACTTGCTCAGGGCTGAAATTTGTACTCCAACTGGCCCAACCTATAGCAAAATATTTCTTCCCATTCAGTTTGGAAGCACTTAGAAGTCTTAAGTTATTAGCGATAGCTGGGCTTCAGGACGATTGTGTTAGAATAATTTTCTTTGACTGAAATTTTGCAGGATTTCAGTCCTTAATAGTGCCTTTGTGTAATTTGAAGAACAACCTGGTGACAACAATAATTTATGAGATTCCTTGTCCACAATAATAGATAGCAATGATTTCTTAAGATTTTTGAATGTATATGCTATTGCAGATTCTTTAACAGTTTATAATTATGCAAGAATTGTCATTGACTATTGATGTGGGACCAATAATTTGCATTATATAAAGCTTTACAAATTGTGTTCAGCGAAGCGTACCAAAAACAAGAGAATAATTTAAATCATTAACTGATCCAAGATGCATTACTCAAAGTAGGTTCCATTGACTTACATCCAAGTAACATAACAATTGCCACATTGGCCATATTAATCTGTTTACATTTTGATCAACATATCCGAACTGGAGCCCCTCAGCAAACACAACTGGGACTTCCATAATTCCCAGCCATGCTGTTGTAGTTGCAGCACATTTGGGTGGGTGCCAGGATAGGCAAGGCTCATCTTAAACACATCATTGACTTGAAGCCTGTGTAGCCACTCTTTAAGAAGTATACATAATTTGAACTCACGTTTATTTGTCTCATACTTTTCTATAAAATAAAAGACTCAGTGTATGGCTGAAAGTGTAATTTAATGTGGTGAGATGTAGTGTGCTGAGTTTTTAACTGAGCAAGTTAGCAGCCAGTGTATCAGGTCTCATGTACCCACCGTCATCCAAACTTAAAACCTTATATCCACTGGGAAGGGCTCAGTAAACTTTAAAACTAGTGCCTGGTTTCATTATTGCTGTAGTAATTCTGCAGTTACGCTTGCACTGGAAGGTATCTGGTGGACTAAGAGAAGAAAAATATATACTTGTAGCATAGAACTCCACCGTAAACCATCACAGAGGAAAAGTAAAGTAAAATTCATGGATGTATGTCCAAGCCCTGTTTAGACCATACTGGATCAGCTATCAGATTTCTCAGTACATCCAATTTTTCAGACAGCTCTAGTATGTTAACAGTGGTTGTTTTTAAATACATATTTTCTACAGACTTTTCACCATCTGTTTTCAAGTTTGAACTATAGAAGAATCACTGGTGTAAAACAATTATTAGATTTAATTGTGGATTGAAATGGGATCAGCAGGCTTTAGTTTGAGAAAGTGTGCTTGATATGGGTTCTTAGCTATTGCTTATTTTTATTTAACAATTTTGATCCTAAATGTTTCTTTTCCTCTCCTCCCCCCCAAGCCCCCCCAACTCAGCTTTTCATGGCAAGAACTCAATATTAATCTGTGCAGACCTATCTGTACTACAAAACTATGCCGAAGTCAGATACTGAATTTAAAGCAAGTTTTTGCCATCTAATTTTCACTAACATTTCCAGTGCGTTCCTGGGTAGAGAGAGATTTAGAAAACTCTTTTGATTTTGTCATGTGTCTTATGTGTCCCTTTTTTTAAAATACTCAGCCTCTGAAAACTAGGTTTATCCTAAGTACAAAGTAAGAACACTGTGTACATAAGTTATCTGTCAAACTAGTCATTGTTTACCTATACTGCTTTAAAATATTGTATTTTATAATTGAATCTTTCATGAGAAATAAAGAGTTATATTGCCACTTTTGTCTGTTGACTGTACCTATTATAGCAATTTGATTAAAAGGAAATGCATTTTATTTGTAACATGCCAAAATAATAAACTAGTACGGACAGGACAGGTTATAGCTAGAGTGAGGCAACCCAATTCGTTTAATGCTCTTCTCAATTATAGCAGTAATTGCTTTACAGATCCAATTAAATTTAAACTGCTGACCTAGCTACAGTTTGTACAACAGCTATTGGTTCTGCTGTATGAAGATGCTACTCCATCACCCTGAGACACATCAGAACAGCATGTATACTGGAAATGACTTTTAAGATTCAGATAGTTACATGACTAATCATAATATTCATATATTTATTTATATGATTTGAATACCACTTTTCTGCCCAGAACACATTTTGGGCAGCTAACAATTTTTAAAAAAATCTCTAAACATTTACAGTCTAAAAAGGTTAACAATCACAATTAATTCAGACTGAAAATACTTGGCTAAAGAAAAAAAACATTTTTTGTTTCACAGAGCAGGAAGAATGGAAGCTGAGTGCCACGCCTGACAGTATGACTTGGGAGCAACACAGAAAAATGTCCTCCCTAATCTGCATGAGACCTCAGAAAGCAAGGGCACCATTACAGGCCATTCCCATGACACGTAGGTTCACAGCAAGCTATGCAGTCTCTTGAACATTGCCACCATGAGATGGTGAATCATGGACTAAGCTGTGGAATCACTAAAGACTAAGCTATGGAATAGAGAATCCAAGATTCAAATTGTGCTTCAGTCATAAGCATATTGGGGTAGGGGGACAGTGTTAGGAACTCAGTCATCTAGGCTCCTCCCACTACATTTAACACAAAGTCTTATTCTATACAGTATAGTATTATTCTAAGGACTACAACTAATAATGTATATGTACGAACACTGAAAGCATGAAATAACTATTAAGTTTTATACAACTATTTTTCCACACTACTTGATACAATGTTTAGACCCATAAATGGTCCTTGGAGGGCCTTGCTGCTCAGCAAGAAGAGCACATACTTAGGGCAGAGGTTCCCAGGCTCAGCCACATTTTTTACATAATGATAAAAATAGACATCATGCCTGAAACAATCAGAATCTGGCAGTGACAGGCAACAATATATATCTGATTAAATATCTGGATGCATTATCAACATAGCCCTTTCGGTAACAGGTTTATTTGCTTTCTAAATGAAACATCCAAGAAGAGGGTGCAATATGCCATTAACCTAAAAACCTTTTTGTAGCATTCCTAACCTGCATGTCTCTGGTTGGCCACAGTAGAATTAATGCTGAATTAGATGGGCTGGTAGCCTGCTATAGCACAGCTCTGAGGGCCTAAAGTAGCCATTTGCATCAGCCTGCCCACAGCTATGCAGCACATCAGTTTCCATAACTGTTACAAAGTGAACTCTTGTGAATAACAAAGATCTTTAAAACCTCTCTTGTTATCGCAAAGTGAAAAAAAATTTTTTTTTACTCAGCAATGTTCTATCTGCAAGGTACGTAGTAAATGTTCTGAGAAAAAAAATTAAATTATAATGTGTAA